CGCTGGTGCGTCGACGCGCCGGGTCAAGGGTCAGCCCGCAAGATGGCGGCGGCAGTGACCTTCTGTAGGCACCTCGGCCGGAGCGGCGCCGCGGCGCTAAGTCTGCCCCGGGGCGTCAGGTGTTTCGGGGTGCGCATCGCGCCGACAGGAGAGAAGGTCACGCACACCGGCCAGGTAACCGGTGCGTCGAGGATCCCCGGTCCTTCCGCCGTCCTCAGTGCCCTAGGTCCTCCGTGTCCCCCGGTTCCTGGTCCCTGAGGGGGACCGCGGAGAACAGGCGGCCGAGTGCCGTGCGGGTCCCCCGGGTCCCTTGTGTGACCGAAGCACGGTCGAGCTGTGCTTCTGTCGCCCGCACCGAGCGGCGTGGATGAAAACGGGTGCCGCGGTGCCGGGGGTGGCGGAGCGTTTGAAATTCTGTGGCAGTGTCCTTGAACTCGGAAATGAAGCGGATGCCGGTGTAGCTGTTGGGGGCGCTGCCCGGTGGACTCCAGGCGACCGATTGCTTCTGTGGCTCGAGCCTCGTCATGTTTGTGTGATATTAAATAGTGCATTTAAGTAACTTGAGCGTCCGCTGAAGCCCAAAACACAAACCCAGCCTTAGACGATAATCATACGATGAGAGAGTGAGTGCCCGTGTTATTAAAGTGTTACCAGCAGGTGAGAGGGGACGAAAGCATCGCCCCGGAGAAGGAGGGGTGCGCCTCTGCCTGAACCCGCCTCCTCTGCCCTCGCTCCCCCCGCAGCCTCCCCGCTCACATTCTGCTCATTGTCACCTTCGGGGTCTCGCGGAGAAATCTCCCTGGCGCAGCTGTACCGTGACCCGGCATGTGTCTGATTGTGAATGGTGTAAATGTTGAGAAAAACACTTTTCTGTAATGTTTTACGATGGAGATTAACTGACCTCTTTCAGAATTAGGCTGTAAAAATCACGTATGGTCTTTCCCCGCCCCCCCAGGTTTATGATGATAAAGACTACAGGAAAATTCGATTTGTAGGTCGTCAGAAAGAGGTAAGTAAGAAAAAAAAAAATCTACTAAAAGAGAGGTAAGCTCTCATAAAACCTTTATGTAACCGACAAAATATAAAAATTCATATGTATGATTTAAACAGTTTCCCCCCCAATTGTGACATCCTAGAAGCTTTGGAATTCTGCATTTTTCTAAATGTTAAGTGTGTCTGTTTTGTTTCTCTTGTGTCGCCCCCCCCCCCCATACACACAGTATGTAACAACATTTAGTAAGTGTAGTTCTTTTTTATATATAAATGGGAGTGGGCTTTTCCTTTATTTCTGGGCCTTATATTCCTGAGACCCTCAGATTAAAGTAAGTTTTGTCCTCTGTAGTCACTTGGAGTCAGTCACTCGTCCCCTCAGTCAGCCTGTTGATTCTCCGTGTTAAGCCTCAGCTTTCCCTAAGTTGTGTTTCTCCTTCCCTTTGGTCTTGGTTGCATTGTCCGTTCCCAAAGTCTGCTCTTCTCCTTCCATCCTGCTTTGTGGGTGTCATAAAGTGCTTTGCAGGGGCAGTGTGCTGGAGATGGAGTTCAGAGCGCTGGGTGGGGCCCTTCAGAGCAGATCAGTCCCGGAGTGGACCCTGCAGCCTGGCCCCCAGCTTCCTGTTGTGTGCCCCCTGATGCTTTCGCAGGCACCTGGCCTGCCACGGACTTTCTCTGCTGGGATTTCTCATGTGGCCCTGGTTTCTGATTGCCGTAGCAGAGGGCAACAGGGAGCAATTTAAAAACAAAGCCAAACAAGCAAAATCAGAGCTTTTTAAGGCAATACTGTGCTGCCAGTGTTGCCTGATCCTTCACCGCTCTCCTGGCTTGGGGTCTCTGGGCCTTTTCCTGCTTGGGATCATCCTCAAGTTGTGAAGGTGCACTGCACACCTGTGACGGATGAGTCGGCATTCTGCTGTGGCTTTTGCTCTTACAACAAACATTTGGTGGTTAGTAATATTTTAAAATTGTTTTGGTTTCCGAGAGACATTATTGTTTTAGAAGACTGTAGGTACTAGTATCCTGGGAAATTGCACAGAAAGTACAGAGTTTCCTTATGCCCCGTCTTCCCCTCACACAGTTCCCTTGTGCTATATTTTTTACATTTTGACTGATTTAAACACTGGGTGAGTATTGATATATTAGTACCAACTCAAGATCATAGTTTACATTAGGGCTTACTCTTTGCTGTACATTCTGTGGGTCTTGACAAATGCATAATCTCTTGTATCCACCAGTACAGTAAGATACAAAGTAGTTTTATTGCCCAGAAAGCTTTCTGTGTTCCACCTCCTTATCCCTGCTTTTGAGCATTTTCTCCAAACTTACTTAGTTTAAAAATTAATATGGATGAAAACTACAGTTTTTACTGTGTATATGCATGTGTGCACACCTATGTTTAGCTAATTATAATTATTTGTATTAGTGTTAAAAATACCTGATATTCTAAATAACCGAACTGGGGCTTTTAGCTTATTTTAAACTTGTAAGTTTCCATTAATTAGGTCAAAATTTTACAAAACATTGATTATTCAACTGAGTTATTATTCCTCTTTGTTCTAGTTTTGATATTATTTTGCAGACTTATATGTATATTTTGTCTTTAATGGATTTAAGCTCGGTTTGACGTAAGGGAGTAAACTTTACATAGGAACTGTCACTCCCAAAAACATGTGTTTAAAAAAAATAGAACAGCTTACTGACAAATAAATGATTTAAACCTAAATATTTTTAGGCCCAGATGAATTGATCAAGAGGTAACTATAAAGATAGTTTCATTGTGTGTGTGTGTGACCTCTTAGTGACCTAGAGGACTAATTTTTACAGTGGTTGGGCAACTTAAGGTCTGTGACACACCATGTACTTGGGAAAACACTACATTTACAGCCAAGGGTGTGGGATGCTGTGACATGTTTTCTGTACTGATCTCCTCATGAGGTCCAGTAATTCTTTCTTTCCTTGTCCCTTCCCGGGGCAGGGCGGCACGCTGCAGCCCTGAATTTTAACAAAATCGAAGCTGGGCCGTGGTTGGGTGCTGTGACTGGGCGTTGACTCCTCGGCTCTTTGTTTTCTGCGGTTGAGCTGAGTCCCAGGATGTTAATCATGGGAGGTCAGGGTCGCCCTGGAGCTGCAGTCCTGAATGACAGGGGCAGTCCCGTGTCAGTCTCAGACGTCAGGCATCAGTTGCCCTTCCCACAGGAGACAGCCTGTTTCTTGGACTGCGTGATGGGAGTTTGTTAGTGTGGCCTTTGTGACACATTTGTCACTGAGGTAGACACCGTATTATTTACACCCCGAGGCTTCATTTGTATGGCGCGTGGCTTGCGCGGGCCATCACTCACCATGTAGACCGCTGTAAGGTATGGTGTGAGGGAGCCGGAGCCCTTGGCGGAGGCATTGTGCTTAAAGGAGCTTGTAAAACACCCTGGCGGCAGCCCTGCACATTGTGGTGTTTGTTTTAACATCCCCATATTTCCTGGTAACTTTCTGCTGTGTTTCTGAAAATAGAATTTTAAGGAAAAGCTTTACAAAATCATACTCTATCACTGACAAAGCTTTTGTGATTAAACTTTTCCAAAATGTTGTCCACATCGTGTGGGTTTAGACAATCAGAGTTCTGGTAGGGGTGTTTGGTGTCATCTGTGTTGGTGGCAGGCGGGGCCTTCTCTGTGTGTGAGTGGTGGGAGTGGCTCTGTCTCTGGACTGTGTGTCCTTTGGACAGTCGGCTGGCTTTGGAAAAGTTAACTGAGCTTGACTGTGTTCTTCTTATTTTGAAGTTTTATTAAACTTACATCCCTTATTTGTAAGACTTTATTTACACCTAGTCTCTGTGTTCTTGTCTTCCCTAGAGCAGTAGGCCTCTGGTGTAGGTGAGATTCTGGAAGACACATGGCCCTGGGAGCCAGGACTGACCTGGCCCAGCAGCCTCACTCATAATGATAAACAAGTATTGGACATTATTCCCAAGCCCAAATCGCAGGATAACCTTGGCCAACGCTTATTAATGTGATTTTTAGCCTCGCACTGCCCCATCTTGTTTCCATTAAGCATCTCTTCCTGTAAACTTGTGATGGCCTTTGGGAGACCTGAGAGGGGAAGAATGGTGTTGCCCCTCTGACTGTCCTCTGTGTGGTGTGTTCCAGATGAAAGATCCTCTGGCCTCCAGAGGAGGGTGACTTTCAAGATGTGGTCTTGCTGTTGTCATCCACCCTGGGTTGGGTAAAGATGTGGAAGAGATGCTGGGTTTAAGAGGCACCATCAGGCAAGCTAATCCTTGGGAGCCGAGTGTTGGGCACAGAGGGCGACTATAATTGCTATAGATGGCCCTAGAAAGGAGGAAGCCTGGAGAAGGCACTGCTGGGTTTCTTCACAGGGTGTGCGGTGCTTGGAATAAAGCAGCCGCAGCCCTTGGG